CGAGCAGAATTGAATTCAATACTTGAACTGTGTAAAAGCAGTCTAAGTAATGAAAATGCTATGCCAAGTCCTTATTCCTTTCATGAATATTGTAGCCCCAGTCTAATGATTTTGACTATCTAAACTCTCTGTTGATGGATGTGAGTGAAAGGAGTACAAAATTGCATGATCTTAGCTGCCTAAGTGGACAGATTCCACGTCAACCGATTTCGACAATTCTTTTTGCATCGGAGAGGTAGTATCTCACAGGTGGTCCCATACGAATCTGGTTTAGATCCGATCACTGAATCATGAAATATATATATATGTATATATTTTTTTTGAAGTCGGTTTTGTTTTTTGCTTAAAAATTACTTGTTTTTTTAATTATTTTTATCGAAACGTCATTCCTTGAAAACCAAGACTACTGAATTTTTGTCGATATCATTAAACATATGCATATACATTAACATACATATCGTCTGCTGAGTGGAAGATCGACCTATCTCGGCAGCCCTATTTCGGAACTCGATTCAAAAATGCCCTATCTCATCTCAAAATGTATTGAACATGAGATAGGGCTTTTTTAAACGAATTCTGAAATAGGGCGTTCTTCAACCAAATTCTGAAATAGGACGTATTTGAAAAGTTTTTACAAATAAATATGTGTTAGTTACCTATACCGACATGACTCTGGTATGACTCTGAATGAGTCTACTGTGTGTAGTCGAAAAGCGAGTCACGAAGGATTAGTATTACCTAGCAGTGTGCTCTGTTACACCTGTAGAACGATGCTCTTGCACTTGAAATAAAAGGTAAATACTTTATAGGCTTGTAATTGACATCATCAAAAACAAATGGTTAAAGGAAAATAAAAATTTGGACCACCACTAATGCACATAAACCGCAATAAATATATATATATGGATTGATTTACATTCTAAGCTAAATGCTTCCAGTAAAATATTAAACAATAGCATCAATTGATTGCTGTTATCTTGCGGTAAAAAAAAAAATAAAATAATGAGAAAGAAAAGTACTCGTTATTGTTTCTCACAAAGCCAACCTTTGCTGTGCGAATAAAAACATCAATGAGAAAGCATTTAATGTTGCATTAAAATGAATGTAATACAAATTCGTAGAAGCAGTAATAGTATCCATTAATTTTTATTTTTTCATTCCGACAATACATAGTTTGAGTCATTTTTTAATTAATTAAAACGATTTTTCATCGTTATATCTCGGAATGAATCTCGAAGCTAATTTTCCGAACACTGAAGAATAAACAAATATTTCTACATATTAGCTATTTACAATCCTAATCCTCTATTTAAAATTTGTTTTTTACCCTTTTTGACATTTGGGAAGTTCAACCATCTTTCTCTCCAAAATCTCTCCGTGGCATTTATAAAAGGTCCTATTTGATGGGACTTTTTAGGTCTTCGAATACTTTACGCGGTTTTTTTGAGAAAAATCTGTTCTTGCTCATCATTAAAATTTCCTCAATGACATGCTTATTTAATATCTACTCATGTTTAGTGTTTGTTAAGCGCGTGTCGAGTATTTTGGAATTTCAATATATGTATGTGTGTACATACAAGCGTGCCTAATCTTATTGCACACGCAAAATAATACGATAAACATCACTATCGCTAGACCCCAGCACTGACAACTGTAGGACACACGATTTCGGTGAGTGTCACAGCCAACCTGCGCTTATCTTTTCACCCGCTGAATGCACATTAGCGTGGTCCAAAAATGCATTTGAAAAGGTAAAGTCGGAATTTTAATGTTCTGACCCGCTAGGATTGTTCTATACCGAAAGAAATATACCCCTATTTTTTATTTTGAAAACAAAAAATATTTTGAGGTCGCTCAAAGTTTTCCATGTATTTTATATGGGAAAAACAAGTTTTCGTAGATATGGTATAGAATTCTTGAAAATCAATATTTTTCGATCGGAAAATTTTGCTTGTCTTCAGGAGACTACCAATAATAATAACCAATTGTTTATTTTTCCTTTTTTTAATACTAACGATTTTTTATGTGTCCCCATTGCATTTTTTTTTAGTTTTTTAGGGGTCCTATAGAAAACAGTTTATATTAGAAAATCGATAAATTTACAATTGGGTATTATTATTGGCAGTCTTCTGAAGAGAAATGAGGCTTTCCGATCGAAAACTATTGATTTTCAAGAATTCTATACCATTTCTACGAAGAGTTTTTTTTTCCAAATAAAATACCTGGAACACATTGAGCGCTTTGAGTGACCTCCAAATATTTTTTGATTTCAAAATAAAAAAGGGGCATCATTTTTTTCGGTATAGAACAATCCTAGGAGATGAGAGCATTAAAATTTCGACTTTACTTTTTTTGGACCATCCTAATGCACTTGCATAGAAATGTTATAACAAAAAATCCCCTTTCTCCAGCAAAGAGACATAAATACTTCGAAAACTGGCTCTCTCTTTACAGTTGGCGCAATGAGTTTTAACAGTAAAGTCGTGATAGTAACAGGTGCCAGTTCAGGCCTGGGCGCCGCCACTGCCGAAGCATTTGCCAAACGTGGCGCTAAAGTAGCGCTCGTCGGTCGCAATTTGTCGAATCTTAAAACTACAGAAGCCGCCTGTAAGGCAGCCAACAAAAACGCTGAGCTGCTACTTATCGCTGCCGACGTCACCGTGGATGCCGAACGCATTATCAATGAAACAGTCAAGAAATTCGGACAATTAGATGTGTTGGTGAACAATGCTGGCATTTTAGCTTACGGTAGTATTTTGGATATTGGTGTGGAACAATTCGACTCCCTGCTCAATACCAATTTACGTTCTATTTTTCTGCTAACCAAGCTGGCTGCACCCCATCTAATCAAGACACAAGGCAATATTGTGAATGTGTCAAGCGTCGCCGGCTTGCGTACATTCCCGAATACTTCAAGCTATTGCACCTCTAAGGCAGCTGTTGATCAGTTTACTAGATGTATTGCTTTGGATTTGGCGCCGAAAAATGTGCGTGTCAATGCTGTGAATCCTGGTGTAGTCGTCACCGATATTCATGCACGCAGTGGCATGACCGAGGAGGCTTATGCGGATTACATGCGACGCGCCAAAGAAACACACGCGCTTGGACGTGTGGGCACAGCAAAGGAAGTGGCTGATACCATTGCCTTTTTGGCTAGTGACGAGGCGTCCTTCATCACCGGTGCTACAGTGCCTATCGATGGTGGCAAGCAGGCGATGTGCCCGCGTTAAGGGCAATCAAAATTAAATAAGTATAAACATATGTTTTTATATCTACCTGTAAATAGTAATTTTAAAGTAACTGTTTAGCACCGTCAGAAAAAAAATTATTAAACATTTTTTATAAAAAGTTAAAAAACTTTGCGTGTAATTGTTAGAGTTTATTGAATTTTTTAAATTTTTCTAAGAAGTTTGAAATGCTGCTGGTTAATTAACCTACATGTGCTAGACTTTTATAAAAAAATTATAAACATTAAATAAACAAAAGAAAAATAACCAAAACTGGTCAAAATGCCATCTAACTTAATCAGCTGACCACAAGCGTATTTTCCTGCGGTAAATGGAGCCTACGTTTTATGTTAGACTTCTGTGTAGAGATGCATCGGTGAAAACTGCTTTCAATTTCATGTATTAAGTTTTGCGACTTGTGCACATGCGGCCGAACATTTTCATAGTGATGGATCAATGACTCCTTACTGGTTGCACGTAACAACAGTTTTTCCGCAATCGCTCACTTCAGTCGCATCAGTTTTTTGACTGTCCATCATCTGACCATTTTCCAGAAGCGGTATGAGTTTGTGAGGCACCCAGTCCTAAAGAGACGAATAGAGCATAAAGATGGGGAGGCCATTTAGGTTAGGTTAAGTAAGCTGACCGGCCACCGCTTGGCTTCGCTGAGACTATTAAGGTCTATAGCATTACCAGATACCCTACGACCATTTGGATAGCTAATCACTGCGTATCAGGAGAAATTTTTGAGAACATCGCAGTGGCGGCAGCTTCCAGATTGGATAGTAAACCTGCTCCCAGTAGACTAACCTGCAGTCTGCTAAGCGCAAGACACTCGCATAGGATATGCTGCACTGTCTCCTTATACGTTCTGCATCTTCTACAGATCTTATCATTGGTCAGAGCCAATTTAAAGGCGTGCGATACCAGTAGACAAAGGAGAGATTTCGTCAGCTTCATGTCATGCGCTCTGCACATAATCCTGAATACCTTGCAGCCTTGCATTTTATTCCACGCCTTTTGCACCTTCCGGATCGTGGGTAGGCCAAGTTCCCGTTTAAACTCATGGACGGAAATCTGCACCTCTTCTATCAGCATGGTTTCCAACAAAGCTCCCTCTTTGGCCAGTCCGTCGGCCTCCTCGTTGTCCACGAGTCCCTTGTGTCCCGGAACCCAGTACAGATGTACGTCAGTACCAGTCTATAGCCAATCCGGAGCTTCTCTGCACTATGCTCCACTTCTAGAGGAAATGCTGTGAGATAGTAGCACCTTTATCGCAGCCTGATTGTCGATATCGAGATTCACCCGCTTATTTGCTAGATTGCTGTTCAGTAGCTCCAACGCCCTCCTTGTAGCCAATAAATATAAATGTGTTCTTCTCTATTTCTGCCCACCAAACCAATAACCCATGGATAAGTATCGGCCCTATAACGCCGTGAAGATTCAGTGAGAAAGAGAAGGCGATAAGCCCCAGGTACAGCCCAGCATCCATCTTTTTGCATACATATAATGCCACGGAGTCCTTCTTCGGACTCTTCCCCACATTGAGACGCCACTACAGCTTACTATCGAGTATTATTCCGATGTACTTGATGCTTTGCTTTACCTGGAGCGTCATTCCATCCAGCCACTTATGGTTGAACAACTGGCCCGTCGTTTGTCATATGGCAAGCACTGAGAAAATTGTGTCAAGTCGAACAGCTCCGCAGATATTCAATGAAAGGCAATATACCGCTTACCTTCCGCGAAGTAATACCTAACGGTGGTTACACGGAAGAAAATAAACTCAGCGGGGTGGGTTTTTAGTGCGACGAGCCGAAATTCAAGACCCAGACATTTCGGCTTTCAATGCTTTGTTACACCGCTAGACGTCAAACCCTTCATGAAACCCAGGTTGAATTTTCTGGTGAAAGAACAAGCTATATGTTTGATTAGCTCATTTACCGGTAGGTGCTGGAACAGTTATACCAGGGCGATGTGTGGAGACTAAGTATACGACAAGGTAAACCACAAACAATTGCAATTTTTAAGGACAAGGCCGTTTGATTTTATTGTAATAATTCTCTACTCACTTTCAATTTAACGGCTTTATCCTTAACAACAGAGTAATAAAATAAGGTTTAAGGGAGACTCGAAAAGTTGTAAATATAAGTAACACTAGTCTGCCGATTATTGGCTTATTGGGATTATTGTAGGCTGCCATGGTGCCTCTGTTGTAGACGGTATTTCTTCGAAAATTGAGTTTTCCAATACCAGGTCTGAAATATTTTGAATGCAAATGTTTTCAGGTAATGTTTTGTGAACAGCTCCTTTTTCAGAAATCGGTTGTAAAATTGTTACAGGAGCATGCCGTTGAAATGGTATCTAAAAGAAATATTTATATATTCAGCTCACGTAACTAAACAATTTTCTCAGTGTATTTTTTTAGTATTATAACAAGTAATGTAACTAATAAAACTGAAGAAGATCGCACCGCAACTCCGAAAACCTCATTCATACTACTTACCCTCTCAGCGACCGGATATGGCACCGGTCTAGGAATGGGCACTGGCAGCACAGGTGGATAGAATTTCCGGGCAATGAAGGCATGAATTA